GAGAGTTGCCGAGCGCTGAGCGAGCGCTGCTGAGGGGCGCGCGAGAGTTGCCGAGAGCTGCCCGATAGCTGCCGGGAGCTGCCCGTGAGCCGACCGGGCGTTCCCGAATTCTGCCCGAGTGTTGCCGAGTGTAACCCGAGTGTTGCCGAGTGTAACCCGAGTTCCCGAGCCCCGCCCGAGTTTTGTCGAACTCGGTCCGAGCCTTGCCGAACTCTGCCCGAACGCTGCCGATCCCCGCCGAGCGGCTGAGGGGAGCCGGGCCTGCAGTGGTGCCGGACGGCGAGCGCGGCCTGTGCGGGTGGTGAGTGGGCCTGAGGCGGGAGCCGCGGAAAATTTGCGGTCCAGTGTCCCTGACCCCTCGAGTACAGCTATCCGTGTGCGTGTCTGCGTTAGAGACAGCAGGGCTGGGGGTGTCAGTGCTGTTCTTTCTCACCATCGCGGGGTGTCCTGACTCCCCTTACGTGTGTGGACCTGGGAGGAAGAGGTATGTGTTCGGAAGGACACGGGGCTGTTTGTGTTTCCCCCACACCTCCTGTTGTGTGTATCTGTGTCCCCATTTTCCCTCAGTTACATTGCCCAGCTCTCTCTCTCCATGTCTCCCTGACAGCGCAAGGGGGAATTTCTTTAAACTGAAAGAGATTACGTTTAGATTAAATATTGAGAGTGAATTCTTTACTGTGAGGGTGGTGAGGTAGTGGCACAGATTGACCAGAGAAATTATGGTTGCATTATCCCCGGAAATGTTCAGTGCCAGGCTGGATGGGGTCCTGAGCAGTCTGGTCTGGTGGCAGGAGTCCCTGCCCATGTCAGTGGAACAAAATCTTTAAGGACTCTTCTACCTCAAACTGTTCCATGATTCCTTGAATCTATGCTTCTGTGATGACTTGCCCACTGTTGGCTTTTTTTGGCAGGTGTGCAGCAGGATTGTCCAAGCCATGATCGAAGTGTTGGCCAAGCTGGGCCGTGGGCCCGTGTTCCTGGCAGGGGAGGTGCTGGAGTGTGTGATCACCTTCACCAACCCATTATCAGCCTCATCGACCTCTGCCAGCAGGTACAGGAGCCTGTGCCAGTCCATGCACCGAGCCTTCAAATGTGGGAGCTGCCTGGTTCCCTCCAGAGGGAATGGCCCACCCTCCCCTCTCTGGAGTAGCAGTCATGGCTGCATTGTGGGGCAATGGTGCCAGCTCAGCCCCTTGTGACTTCCCTGCTCGAGGCACTCCCTTAAGGAGGCCTTGCACCATCTCAATTTTGGGGGCAAAGCTGAGGTAATTATGCTGGTTTTGTGCCCCCAAGAAGTACACAAGGAAAGAAATATGCAGTTAGAGATTCTCTGTCCCTCAGGTGAGCCCTCAGTGACAGTGACTGGCAGAAAATGAAGCCAAACTGGCTGTCAAAGTGGGATATCTGGTCATGCCAGGGTGACAGTCCCACAGAGCAACATCCAGGCAACGTCATTATTTCCTGCAGTTGTGGAGGGACCTCTCTTGTTCAGCAGTGATGGATAGACCAGTGTGATCCCTACCTCCAGAGGTGGCAGACAAAGGGATGGGTCTGAAATGTGGTCTGTGGCCACATTTTCTGTAGCTGAGCCTTTTGCGCACTGCATCTCCCCTTATCAATGCTAAGGAAATGTGAGAAGATGGGAGCTTCCCATATTGGCTCACAGTGAGTGACTCCATGTCACAAGTCATCAACCAGAGCCTTCATGTCCGCTGAGTGTGTGGCCTTGTCTGATTCTTTAGGGAGTGGAGAGTGCTTTCTCATCTTGAGTCCTTCCTGGGAAGTGTCTGCTTGCAGCCCTGTCAGGTTCAGCATGTTTTCATCACCAGTATGACGTTCGCATGTGATTGGTGGGCCCACTCACAGTGCCTGCTGTCTCAGCAGCAGAGGGCTTCTGTATTTATTGCCTTCCTTAACTTCCCATCTTTTCTTCCTGTTTCCTTTTGACTGCTGAGCTCAGGTTGCAAATTCAGCTATGACATAACCATCCAGCTTCCCAGAGTTTTGTCCTGTGTGATAAGAGCTGTTTTGCCTGCCTCTAAAACATGTGAGACTGTAAGGGTGCTATGTGGCATGCTTTGGAGAGTTTGCAGTGCATTTATGAGAACTTCATTTAAAACTTCAGATGTGTTGAGATCTGTAGAAGACTACCTCTTGAAAAAGAAAAGTTTTTAAAAATAATAAGAAAAATTCCAGGTGACAAGAACTGGCTAAGTCAAACTAGTGGCAACAGCAAATAGATTGGTGGTTTGGAAAATGAAGCTGAGGGTTGCATAAAGGCAGGAGCCAGATTAAAGCACCGTGACTGTAACATGTAGATAGACCTGTCAGAGCCTGGAAGGTTTTGGGACTGACAGGTAGAGGGACAGAGAGGCCAAATTTTGAGCACAGGGACAGAATTGAAAGAAAGGCAGGAAATTAATTGGATGGTAAAGTATAAGAAACTAATCTCTTCTACCCAGAGGCTGCACTGAGTGTGTTCCATGTAGGCTACAGGAGCTGTGGGGGAAGGTGAGACTGGAGGGAAGTGACCTCAGCACCACTGCAGGATCCTCCACTGCTGAACAAGCACCAGATGAGCAAGCCTGCTCTGCTGGCAGGAAGGGACATGCAAATTTTGTTTGGACATCTGGCTAGAAAAAATAATGACAATCCAGTGGCATGTTGTAAAGCAATACTGAAAAAGAAAAAAATAATCAAAATATGGTGCTTGAAGGTACTGTAACCACTCTAAGCATATATAAAATTAGCAAAAGTTGTCTCAAGCAAGAGCAGTTCTCTGCTTCTAAACAGCAGAAAACAGCAAATAAACATGGCAGCCCTGATGGAAGAGCCATGCTGGTGTTTTTGAAAATGCAGAATTGCAATTGTAGGGCCCGAAGCAACTAGGTAGAATAACTGAGGTGTGTTTGGGTAAGGGCAGCCAGCACATACAAAAGATCAAATAGTGCATCATTAGTAAGCTGACACAAATACAGCAAGCTTTTTTCCCTGGTTCATCTAGACGTTTAACTGCTCTGATGTGTCATGTGGAGGGACACTTGTATGCCACAAAAAATCCCTCTGCCATCTAAAGCTCTGGTGTTGGTGCTTTCTAATCAGATGATGTTAGAAAACACCAGAGGAACTGTTCACTGGCTAAACTATAGAGACTACTATTGAAATAAAAACAGAGGAGTGAATTGGAAATGGAAAGGTGTCACTAGTACCATGGGAAGTGCCATATGGAGTGGCTGACGTCACAGCAGAGTCCGTGAAAAACAACATGAGACCTTTTTTTGTGCTGGATGTGTGGCCCTACATTAATTCCTGTGGCTGTACAGAGAGGGGTCAAAATGACACCTTTGCCTCCCCCATTGCCGTCAGCAAAGTCCTTGCATAAGGAGGAGTAACTAGGTCCTAATGAAAGACCCAGAAGCATCCTTCTTTTGTCTGGCACAAACAACAGCTGATGTTCTTGCTGGGGATGGTGCTTTGGGGCCAGAGGGAGCATGAATGTGCCTACCTGCCCCAAAGAGTGTTGAGCTTGGGGCATCTCCATGCTGTGAGCAGAAGCAGCTGTGCCCTGGTTTCAGGAATTTGTTGCTTTAGAATTTGCCCACTTCCCTAGTGATTGTGTTGCTAGGAGAGTGCTGCTCTGTGTGTCATGTCTGGCTTGGGATTTAACTCCTCATGGCTGAGAGTCCTCTGCCAGGGCCCACATGCAGCAGCTTGAGGTGTTCTCCCAAGAGTGCAGTGAGTGGCCAGTCCCAGTCTGTGAATGACGAGAAAGATGAGCAAATGAGTAAGGCTTTGGACTGGATATTGGAATGCTTGACCTCAGTGTGTTTGCTGAAAGGTCCCTGTGAAGTTTTACACAAGCCACCTTCTCTCTTGTCCTCATGGAAGGGGACAGGGGCTGCTGACCTCTGCTGCTTGTTGTCCTCTGCCATGAGTGTGCAGCATGTTTCTTGAGGCAGATGTGTTTTCTCATACTGGGTCAGTGCTGTGCTGATGGTGTTGTGGCTCAGACTGCAGTTATTGCTGCTTAAAAAGAGTCCTTGGGCCACAGAGCCAGGCTTTGGGTGAAGCTGTTGTCAGCAGCTGGGGTGGAAGTGGTTTTGAGTCAGCACCCCAGCTTGAGCTTACTCCCAAGTCTTGTTTGGAAGGGGACTGTGAGCATGGCTTCAGTGACAGTGATGCAAAGCCTTATTCCTTCAGACAAGCTGTCCTGCATGGAACTGAGTGGACAGAGTTTCTCTTCTCCCAGTTCCTGCCTGCTGTAGTTCAGGTTTAAAGGAGAGATATGAGTGTTGCTCTTTGCTTTCAGTGAGATGCTGGCATGGGCCAGTGCCCAGATCCACTGCCAGTTTCATGCCAGCGAGAACCGGGTGGCACTCCCTCCCTCTGATGGCAGCAAGCATGATGTGCAGGCAGAGAATGAGACCGTCTTTGTCCCCAACAGAGGTGAGTGCCACTCCTCCCTGTCACCCGGGTAGGAACAGTGAGAACACAGTGGGCAGAAGTCAAGCAGACCATGAAGTCTGTCTTGATGCAGTGTACATAGGAGTGAGTGGGAAGTTTGTGTTGTTTTCCTGATGATGGATGTGGGATCTTGTTAATACTGAAATCACAGTGATGCTAGCTTGAATTGAAACACTACAGTTGTTTGTCCAGCTGTAGTGGCAAGGTCTCATGATATGACCAGGGCAAGAGATGCTTTCTCCTTGCCTCTCTTCTCATTCCTCCCCATGGGGATAAAGCTTGACTGACTTGGACACAGTCTGAGGCTATGCAGCATTCATGTGTTTCTTATTCTCTTCCAGGAGAGCGGGGTCAGTGTATCCTGTCCACCCCACCAAAGATCCTCTTCTGTGACTTGCGACTGGATCCTGGGGAGTCCAAGTCCTGTGAGTCCTGTCTTCTCTTCCCCTGCTCATGAAGCTCATCTCTGGGGAGCTCTGCTTTCAAAATTGGCTTTGCAGACCTGAGTGCTCTAAGTGTGAGATCCTGATGTTCACGAAAGGCAGGGTGCTTTGGTTGGAGCATGAGTGATGAGGAGCTGCTGCATCATCCAGAATCTGTTCTCTGCTGCACTAGGGCTGTGTACTGTAACATGTCCCTCAGTCCTGCCCTTGGTCTACAGCCTTTGCTGCAGGTCCACTGTATAACTGCAAGGCATAAAACTTTTGATATACCTGGTTGCAGCAGGAGGAATGGCTACACACACCTTCATTTCCTTGCCTTTATTTCTTCAGTCACACTGGAGTATTCTTGGAATTTAGGCTGGTGTTTTCCGAAGGTTTGTGCTTCCTCTTCAGGTTGTGGCTGTCCTGGAGATAATAGTCTTCTTGATGTTCTAGTTTTCCTGCTGTGAAAGTGAGCGCTCCTCATCTTCTCTGCTCAAAGCTCTCTATGTCTGAGTAGATAGCTGAGTATGTGCTGTTCTGTCTTGGC